ATGTGATCGGAGTACAAGCGAAATCATTGCGTAATGTGTTTCTATTTCAGAGTGGAAGCAATATATATTACTGTTGCGGCTCAGATGCGTACACAAAGTCTTTAAAGACAATTGCCACCTCATTGTTGCGAGCGACCCAGTTGATCTGCATTAACACCTCCCAGTGTCCACTTGGTTGTAAACTTCATTCTTCATCACACGATTGATAAACTAGTACCTATGGACAAGTGTGAAAAAGGCGTGTCAAAACACTAAAAACATCAATCTAAATAGCTACACTTCAAGTTTTTTTGAGTATGTGGATGAGTACATTTAATAGAACCTACAAATATCAAGATCTGACCCCACCTTGAAACCTGCTTAAACAACTGCAACGCCAGCATTCGCGAGAAATAACTTTCTGCTAAGTGAACAAATAAAGATCGGACGCACATGTGTCTGAACAGGACTAAAGAGTGGACAGAGACTTCCAATCATATTTCACAAGTCAAACCGGTTTACACGTACAACTTAAAAATAGATAACACAACAAGGACACCGCATTCACGCGTTGACTCAAATAACGACATGCTACGCACAGGTCAGAACTTGATTTAAGACTAGTAGAACGAGCTCTACTTCGACTTCTAACCAATTGTGCCCTATCATCCTCTCGGCACCGTCTCCAATGCTACCACTCATGAGTAGTCTCCAAAGCCGCCATCCAGTGGTTTCCTGCTGTCCGTGAAGACGTAAACCTCATATTCATAATCAACCAGTGGTGCCACTTTGTATGATCGCATCTTGTTATGGTGAATGGATACTGGCTGAGTACTCAGTTGTGCGTTGCGGACGAGATAGTTCGCAGTTGGGAAGGCTTTCACCAGCAAAAATGGGTCCTTGCTCCATGGGTGATGGGACTTGTGATGTATTACAGGTAGGAGAAACGATCAGTATATTTGCACCAATCCTTCTTCTCCGTAGCAGTTCGTACGGCTGTGTCGATCATAATATTTCTTCTGTCTGATATAAGGCAGTCGTAAATGTGTGCTTGTTATCTCAAAAGTTGTTCTTATAGCTTCTTTCAGGCGTAGTATATACTCAGGAACATTGTTAGCTGATCCATCGGTGTTTGA